TGCCTTCTGACGTGTGAACCTGCGGTCGTGTCCGTGTGAGAAGTGTGACTGGAAGAGAGTGGTGAAAGGTGGGAGGAGGAAAGCTTCGGCTCAGGCTTCGGCTGGGGAGGAATGCAGGGCATGAATAGCTGAGATGGTGCAAGGAGTGACTGACGTGAGCAGCGCTGCAGATATTCCTGCTTGGCATGTGCCTGACTCCAGCACTATCAGTTTTTGCTCTGTAGAGTCTAAATATATAATCCTTTATGCTATGGCCTCTGGGTGATAAATAGTGATAAATAATGTAGTGGCTGGGGAAGGAGGGAGAAAATAGCTGACCCCTGGGATGTCTGGGGCAGCCGCAGAGTAATAAGAGTGACGAGGGACTAGCTCTGAGGACAGAGGGAGCTTGTTCTCCATCGGCCATTGCAGCTGAGAGTGGGCGGGGGGGTCTTGGGGGGTTGGTTTCCTCTGTCCCTGCTGAAAGTGGAATAGTTCATTTGTGCTGAGCGGTTGGTCACCTTGACCCAGCAAATATATCACCCTGTCCCTTCACCCACTGGCAGGGCTCTGTGTCCCTGAGCAGGCAGCATTGAAAATTGGCTCTGCCTGAAGTTCTCTCTAGGAATTGGATGCAATCCAGGCTGCTGGCGACAGCATGAATGGATGCTAGCGCAGCCAGGGCAGGGTGCATGTGTGTGTGTGCACTGGGAAGTGAGGAGATGACAACTTGCCTGCATTGGAAAGGGCTGACACGGGCACCAATGGGGAGGGGTCCTGGGGGGACAGCCTGTGTTTGACACTGATCCTGGGCTGCAGGGGCTTTGGCCAGAGACTGGCACATGCTGAAGAAGCATTAAGCCAGCAGGGTGTAATCCATCCTTACTGCTCCTTTCCTGCTTTTCCATCTGTGCAAGAGGAATTAACACACATCCTGAGAGTGGATTAGGCTGCTCAAACCGTGACCTCCTCATCTGTGCCTTCTGGGGATGGGTAGCCTTTGTCCAGTTCCTGTTCTGTCTCTCCAGTTTGGGCAGGGATCATGAGTGCCACTGCCAGCAAAGGCCTGGCGACTGCTGCCTTTCACCCCGTGGGACAGCCCTTTGCTGAGCCTGCGTGACACTGGCGCAACCAGTGGGGCTGGCAGGGTGGAGCAAGCCTGCTCCCCAGGTTTTGGGCTCCCAGCACTGTTCATTTGCCTTTTGCTGATGCCTCGTGAGTGTTGGCAAGTCTTGCCATCCTGATTTCAGTGACGGTTCGGGCAGCTGTTGGCAGACCAGGGAGAGCAGCCAGGAGCCCTGAGTACCTGTTTCTTCAAGCCCCAGCGTGCTGCGACTTGATGGCAGTCTGGGGCAATGGGTCACAGCTCCACGTCCCACGCTTGCATCTTCTTCGATTCTCCGTGAGTTGGGGACTGGCTTGGGGACCCTTCAGAGCTGTCGATGGGATTCTTCCTCTGTGTATTGTTACTTATAATCTAGTTCTTTTTAATACATAATTTCTCTTACTTTCACATTTACTTTGTTCTTTTACTGTGGGAGTCTTCCCTGCTCACACTCATAATTTATTCACTAGTTACTACATTTTCTTTAAATGTGTCAAGCTATCTTAGATGTAGCTTGGAAGGGGAACATAGTTTCACAAACTACTTGTAATGTACTCTTAATGTAATAAGAGTGCTTAAAATGCTGTCATTGACTAGAAAAGAAAACGAGCTTCTTAAAGACTTTTACATTGAATTTGATTTATCAAATATGGTATTGATTGAATCTGGTGATTTTTACACATTGTTTTGATTTGCAGATTCACTGTGGAAAAAGTATTTAGATGTCCAGTGATATTTAAAATAAAAAGAATGAGTTTACTTTCAAAAGAAAACTGATTTTTTTATTTTACTGTTGGGAAAAAAACAGTGTTATCAGTGCTCCCTCCACTGTGAAGTCTGACGATAAGGCAGCTGTTTGTGTAATGCAGGGACATGACATTGTGGCACAACTATAAAGCTTGAAGTGATGTTGAAATATTATGTATGTAATTAAAAAGCAACAGTAACATTTGGGAGGCAGCATGTTTAATGTATTTCACTTTCATCTATTAGAAATCTCTGGCATAGGTTGTGATTCTTTCAGATCATTATAAAGAGGTTTAAATTATGTATTGCTTTAGAAAGAAGTGAACTGGTAGAAATATGTCTGCTGGAAATACAGTACAGCAGAAACAGTCTAGAAGGTTCCTGGAGTGTGTGGAAGAACTTCCTAACACAGCAAGTAAGGGAGCCAACTAGGGAAGGCGCCTGCTGGACCTGTTGTTTGGGAACAGAGAAGGACTGGTGGGTGATGTGATGGCTGCAGGCTGTCTTGGGCACAGCGATCACAAAATGATAAGAGTTTTTGATCCTTGGAGAAGTAAGGAGGTGGGTCAGCAGAATTAGAGGGAAGCAGTGACAAAGGGTGAGGAAAAGGCTGAAGTACTTAATGCTTTATTTGCATCAGTCTTTAATAGCAAAACCAGCTGTTCTCAGGGTGCCCAGAACCCTGAACTGGGTGATAGGGATAGAGCACAGAATGAAGCCCCCATAATCCAAGAGGAAATAGTGACCTGCTATGCAGTTGGACACGCATAAGTCTATGGGGTCAGACGGGATCCACTCAGGGGTACTGAGGGATCTGGTGGAAGTGCTCACCAAGCCACTTGGAATCATTTCCCAGCAGTCCTGGTCAACCAGGGAGGTCCCAGTTGACTGGAAGTTAGCAAATGTGATGCTAACATTTTTGATGAAGGAAGGCCGGAAGGAGGATCCAGGGAGCTACAAGCCTGTCAGCCTGACCTTGGTACTGGGGAAGGTCATGGAGCAGATCATCTTGAGTGCTATCACGTAACACGTGCAGGACAGCCAGGCAATCAGACCTAGCCAGCATGTGTTTGGGAAAGGCAGGTCCTGCTTGGCCAACCTGATCCTCTCTGACAAGGTGACATGGTTAGCAGATGAAGGAAAGACTGTGGATGTGTCTACGTAGACTTTACTAAAGTCTCTGACACTGTTTCCCACAGCAGTCTCTGGGGAAAAACTGTTTGGTCATGTCTTGGACAGATGTACTGCTCCTTGCATAAACAACTGGCTGGATGTCTGGGCCCAGGCAGTGGTGGTGAATGGAGTTACATCCAGCTGTGGCCAGTCACAAGTGCTGCTCCCCAGGGCTCAGTACCAGGGCCAGTGTGTTTAATTTCTTTATCTATTATCTAGAAGAGGGGATTGAAGGCACCCTCAGTCAGTTTGCAGATGACTAAGTTGGGTGGGAGTGTTGATGTGCTGAAGGATAGGAAGGCTCTGCAGAGAGATCTGGACAGGCTGGATTGACAGGTCATGGCCAGTTGTATGAGGTTCAACAAGGCCAAGTACTGGGTCCTGCATGTGGATCACAACAACCCCCTGCAGTGCTCCAGGCTGGGGGCGGAGTGGCTGGAAAGCTGCTCAGCAGAAAAGGACTTGAGGATTGACAGTGGCTGAACATGAGCCAGCAGTGTGCTCAGGTGGCCAAGAAGGCCAATGGCATTCTGGCTTGTGTCAGCAATAGTGTGGCCAGCAGGACCAGGGCAGTGATCATCCCCCTGTACTGGGCACTGCTGAGGCACCTCAAATCCTGTGTTCAGTTTTGGGGCCCTCACTACAAGGCAGACACTGAGGCTGGAGTGTGTCCAGAGAAGGGCAGTGTTGCTGGGGAAGGGTCTGAAGCACAAGCCTGATGAGGAATGGCTGAGGGAGCTGGGGTGGCTCAGCCTGGAGACAAGGAGGCTCGGGACTGGAGTGTGTCCAGAGAAGGGCAGTGTTGCTGGGGAAGGGTCTGAAGCACAAGCCTGATGAGGAATGGCTGAGGGAGCTGGGGTGGCTCAGCCTGGAGACAAGGAGGCTCGGGAGGACCATGTCACTCTCTACAACTACCTGAAAGAAGGTTGTAGCCAGGATCAGCCTCGCCTTTTCTGTCAGGTAACATGCAATAGAACAAAAACTGGATATTAGGAAAAATTTCTTCACTGATAGGATTTGTCAAGCATTGGACAGCCTGCCCAGGAATTGGTGGTAATGTTTGAAAAATGTGCAGGTGTGATGTTTAGGGTTTGGTGGTGGCAGTGCTCCTGGCAGAGCTCCCAGATCCTTTGGGAAGTGAATCAGGAATAGCTTGGCCAGCAGGACCAGGGCAGTGACCATCTCCTGTGCTGGGCACTGCTGAGGCACCTCAAATCCTGTGTTCAGTTTTGGGGCCCTCACTACAAGGCAGACACTGAGGGGCTGGAGTGTGTCCAGAGAAGGGCAGTGTTGCTGGGGAAGGGTCTGAAGCACAAGCCTGATGAGGAATGGCTGAGGGAGCTGGGGTGGCTCAGCCTGGAGACAAGGAGGCTCGGGAGGACCATGTCACTCTCTACAACTACCTGAAAGAAGGTTGTAGCCAGATGGGGATCAGCCTCTTCTCACAAGTAACAAGTGACAGGACAAGAGGAAATGGCCTCAAGTTGAGCCAGAGGAAGATTAGATTGGATATTAGGAAATATTTTTTCACCAAAAGGTTTGTCAAGCCCTGGCACAGGCTGCCCAGGGAAGTGGTGGAGTCACTATCCCTGGAGGTATTTAACAGATATGTAGATGTGGCAGTTGGGGACATGGTTTGGTGGTGAGCTTGGCAGCACTGGGGTAATGGTTGAATTTGATCTTTTGAGGTCTTTTCCAATCTAAATGATTCTATGATATGCATCTGAATTTTGTTTTACTGTCTAAAATGTGAATTGGGGGATGAAACAGCTGAATGCACATGGAGAGGCTTTTCTGCCCTTGGCTTCTCTCTCGCTTGCCAGTCATGTCTGTGGGCACAGGAACCTGTGGCCTGGCAGCAGGAGGGAGCTGCTGGTCCTCTCCTGCTCCATCCCCAAGCCTGGGCTGCCTGTTATCGGCTGCAAATATCTGGGAAAGTCTCCTTTTCCTCTGAAGTCCTGAACCTAGCACTGACTGCTTCTTCTCCCCTCTGCAGGGTGGTGAAAGAAGAGATCTCGGATGACAATGCCAAGCTTCCCTGCTTCAATGGCCGGGTGGTGTCGTGGGTAAGCACGCCCCTCACTTTGGTGCCTGCTGCCTGTTTCTGCCCTCTCTGAAAACGACTGTTTGGATGTGTAGCGCCAAGTGAGGCACAGGGACTGCTCTGTACTGCCAGTGTGCTGACTGCTGATGAAGCAGATGAGCTGGACTGCAGTGCTCCAGTCCCTCAGCTGGAGAGGGGGCTCTGTGATGGTGGGTTCCCTGTGCCAGGGAAGAAGTGGGATGCCTCTGTGGAGGGCTCGTGGTAGCTGATGCCTGGCAGAGGTCGTGGTCGTGGCCGCTCCACATCGTAACCCGTGTGCCCCTATGGCAGGGTCAGCTTTCCAAGGAAAGTGCTGCTCCAGTGACTGGTGCAAAGGGCTTAAGTGACTTTAGTGCTGGTGAAGCGGACTGGATTTGACTGCCCTGAAGATAAAGGTACTGCCTGGGCAGCTGCAGGACAAGCTTCTCCCTCTGTGCCATTGCCATGCACATGCTCTGTCCCCTGCCCGCATGTCTTCCTCAACCCCAGGGGAACCCTCTGTTAGTGGGGGGGAGAGGACATTGTCTCCATAGCCCATTATCCTGTTTTCCCTCTGCTGAGCTGCCATTTGTGCTGACCAGAGTGTGTGGATGTACACCAGGAGCAGAGCTAAGACCCAAGTGCCTTTTCCCAAGAGGCCTCCAAATAGTCCCTATACAGTGAAAATCCTCAGCAAATCAGGCTAGGTCAGACCTAATACTGTTTCTATCCCTGCACCAAACAGCTAGGCTTCAGCTGGGGGTGGTGAGGGAGGGAGTGGCAGGGGCGGGCAGGTGCCCCACTGCCAGCCTGGCTGCTGCTGGGATTCCAGCCAGGGGAGCAGGGCGCAGGGTGGACGCCTGCCTGCGCCTCACACTGGGAGGAGAGGGTGTGCTGGGCTGGCTCCGCACAAAGAGCCGGTGCCGGACGCCTGCTGTCCTCCCTCTAGCGGTTATCCAGGCCCTTCGGAAAACAGCCTGTGTCCAGCTCCGTCATCCATCCCTCTGCATCCATCCCGCTGCTGCTGCATCTGCCCCAGACCTCCCCACTCTGCCCTTTCAAGCTGCCTTTTGCTAGCACCTGCCCTATGGGGGGTCCCAGAGTCTCTGAACCTTTTCCGTTGCTCTTTTTTTAGCCTGGTGTGCTTTTCCTTATGCTCCATGCATCCACACAGCTGTTGGCTTTCCTTGTAGGTAAAGCTTTCTGTCTGCTAGTGTGAGTGGCACAGGTCTGGTGTGGTCTGCCTGGTATGACCTCCAGTGCTGCTGCACTGCTGTGCTGGAGCCCTTGCGGGGAACTTGTGCTTGGAGTGAGCATTGCTACCAGCTCTTGTGCACAAAGGGTCATGGCTGTCCCAGCACAGCTGATGATTCCTTTTTCAATCTGCTGAGAGTCTCCTTGTCCATGGGTGGTTTGGGGGCTGGGGAGGGAGCACTTACTTTGCCACTTCTGACAGACAAGCTAGGATGAGGCTATTTTAGGAACTCAGTACTAATTTTAGTGACAGAGAAAGACAGGGGCTTGAATCCAAGTGAGTATTTCCTGACAGTGTAAGAGGCAGGAAAAGTGCAGGGTGGTTATCAAAACCTTCCCTGGAGGAAATCCCAGTCTCGGGAGTGTGAGAGGAAGACAGCATCAGCCTCCCCTGCTTGGGAACACCCCCTCTACCCTCCTCACTGCTGTTTGACAGCTGCCTGCAGCTAGTTCCCTCTGTCCAGATCTATTTGCCTGATCTTTTGAGATTTTCAAGCATAAAGTGTTGTATGACTTTTCCCTAGGCAATGCTGGCCACTTCCAGCATCTCTTCTCCCCTGTGCTCCCAGGCAGTGACTGCCAGAGCAGGGATGTGGCCCTCAGGGAGTGGGATGTGTCCTGGGAAGACCAGTCACCAGGAAGGTGCCAGGAGCAGAGCCAGGCATGTGCCTGAGGCTTGCTGGAGGGAGGAAAACTGAGAGGAGTGTGAGACGAGCTGGTTAGAGAGTTGTGAGAGCAGGAGCCGTTGGGCTTGTCCTGGGGCTTGTGGGACGGGCTCTGCAGCTTTTGACACCCCAGGGTGCTCTCTGCCCTGTCTGCTGCCTTGGCTGCAGCTTTTTCAGGGCTGCTCTGTCTTCCTTGCCCCAGCTGCATCCCTGTCTCTGTTCCCAGTGCCTCTCTGGCAGTAGACATCTCTTCCCCTGCCCTAATGATGATCTGTGGAGTCCATCCCCCCCTTATCAGGGTTTCCCTAGTTCTTGGAAGTGGGCAGGGCACAGCCCTTTCATCAGTGTTGCTAGGAAGCACTGAGACCTGTGTAAATGGGCTATGCCTCCAGCACCGAAGTTGGCATCTGCTCCTGGCTCCATGCAGATGTTGTTCTCTCAACAGCAAGAAGTAGTACATTTACACTGAGTGTTAAGGTTTTGGGCAGCAACTATCAGCTCCTTTCCAGCCCACATTTCATGGTCCTTCTGTCCTGACCCACAGTGGGGCATCCTGGACTTGTGTTAAATCCTTTCTGGGCTCTGTCACCTCTGCTCTGGGAGTCCCTGAATGCCTCTTTCAAGGAAGAGGCTTTTTGTTGCCCTCTTGCTTGGCCCAGTTGTGGTTAGGTTCTGTTCATTACAGCTTGAAAGTGGGGAGAGTGCAAACATTGATAGGGAGCAATATTGGGGAATAACTCATTTGGACTGTCTTGTTTCATTCCACTAGTGAGCCCATGGCTCCTGGGAGAGACTCCACCTCCTTCCCTGAGCCCTCAAATTGGTTGTTTATCATAGAGCCAGAGGCACGGGTGTAGTTGTGCCTGGGCTGCCCCACAGCATTGCTTGGTGTAAAGAGTCCCTGGGATTTGACCCTTACTTGAATTTCTGCCCTGGGGAAACTGTTGAGCCTCCCAGAGGTTGGCTGGAGATTGTGCCCAAGCCAATAAGCTGGACACAAGCTGAAAGTTGCAAAGTATGTATGGAAGCCAGAAGAAGAGCATGTTAGACTATTTCAAAGCCAGCCTCAGCTCTGAGCTCCATTACCTCCAGCTTCCAAGGGCTGGAAAGGTAAAAGTTCTGCTGGTCCCACAGCTTGAAGGCAGAGGTGTAGAGGCTG